CCTGCAATAGACAGATTTAGCTCTTTCATAATGTATGTTTAATTTACATTGTACATTAAGTAAAATAACACGTTATTTAACAATGAATATCCTGTATTTAATGTACATATAGGACGAATAATGCAATTTCCATGTAAGATCCGACCCCTAGTTCATAAAGCATTCACAGGTTTTAGTTACGAATTTACTCAAAATTGTTCAACTTATTTTAACTAAAATATGGACCTTTATAAAACTTTTACTGTTTTTAAGTTACAATTTCATATTTTCTAAGAAAGTTAAAGCATATAATTATTTCTATGTCTTTTGCTCAATAGGTTGTTAACTCACTTTTATACGATCATAGGTGTCATTCTCACACTTAAAACTCATTTACACCGGAAGTAATAACACAATTACCTCCCAATTACCTCCCTTGTTTTCTATTCTCCACCATGGAGTAGCTATCTTCAAACGTTTGAATTTGAAGAAGAAAATGATATTTTTGCCAATTTCTCAACTGGCAATAGTGAATTATAGGATTAATAGGATTATTCTTTAACAAGGTAGGACTGTTTATAGATACCATCTATTTTAAGGTCTTATTTTAATAAATTTTAAAAATATAACTTAAAAATATGAAATTGCAACTTTAATGTATGAAATAAATCAATTAACTGAGAATGCTTTGTGAACTCGGGACCTGAATTGTTCAAATTGATCTTTCGGTATGTCTGAAAAGAACACTATCATAAGAGTTATTTCCCTTATCTAGAAATCGGAAAACTGATTCTATCAGAAATCAAGCGGAAAAGATTTAACATATGACCGACATATCGCATTTTGCCATTCTGAAAAAAACAAATAGTGACATTGATTTCTGTGGTTGCATCTTCAAAAAGGGCCGCGCTGTTACCGGTAAGGACAGAACTGTACCCTGTGAGACAAACAGCCCCCCCCCCCCCTTTACACCTCCCCTATAGACCCACCCCTGTTTTATCTGTTCATACTATATCAACCTACATCAAGTATGCATGAGTTTTCACAACATATTACAATCAATAATATCCACTATATCACATTACATCTGTATACACGTCGATGGACTAATACAAGCTTTTTACTTTTTTTAAATCGCAATATTACTCAAAAGCTTTTAAAAAGCTTCATAATACTTTCAGCATATTATTTTACTAATTAATTAATAATTAAAGGATAATAGTAACAACAATATATTTACTATAAAGAGCTATTGTGGCATGCTAAAAATAATAACAATATATTTACTAGACAGAGCTATTGTGGCAAGCTAAAAAAAAAAGGTCATATACAGTTTTTAAAAAATATATACATCACAGTCCTGCTTTGATCAAATACATTATATCATTTGTTAAAAGATAATGATAAAATGTATCTTAGGTTATATATTATCAATCTGATTAAAACACAGATCCTATTTCGTTTCGTTTTTTATAGTTCGAAATTTCGTTTTATTTGTCTGTACTACACTGGGATCTGGAAGAGTTGTTATATAACCTGCATTCTGAATGGCGTGAGGGATTAGCCAATGAAACCATCTGTTACGGAACTGTTGGTAAACCACTAGAAACGTCAACGTTGATTAATTAATGTCTGACGTCATAGGGCCAAAAGCCGCTCGTACGACCTCTGACGCGACCACCCAATACAAATGGCCAGATCATCATGTAGTGTAGTATGGTAAATCTTGCCCTGAAAGTGGCATTGTCGCACATTTTTCTTCGAATTCCAGCTTAAGTCTCCATCATTCAGAGTATTGTTTCCGCTTCGACTACAACGAATGATGACAAAGATTAATTCTTCCTGCCTCGTTTCTTTCTCGCCCAAACCACGCTTACATTACAGACAGTGAATTTTAAAAAGTCCAAAACAACATTCCACAATATTAGTATTGTGCTGTCAATAGAATATGTAACCTCATCGGTCAATATTAGTATTGTGCTGTCAATAGAATATGTAACATCATCGGCCAATATTAGTATTGTGCTGTCAATAGAATATGTAACATCATCGGCCAATATTAGTATTGTGCTGTCAATAGAATATGTAACATCATCGGCCAATATTATTATTGTGCTGTCAATAGAATATGTAACATCATCGGCCAATATTATTATTGTGCTGTCAACAGAATATGTAACATCATCGGCCAATCACGGAGAAAACATTCAGCTTGTTTGATTGCAAAGATTCCAAATCCAGATTCTCATAGTTTATGTCACAAAAAAACAGTTTTACGAGTGAATGATGCTATATTTTGTTATTCGTTGATTTGTGATTGACCGCCATCAAACACCCACCGAATCTACCAGATATATGTGTTGAAGCTGTTTAGGAAACAGAATTGATACTGATTAGATCTCTCGCCAAACAAACAAGTCTTTGCTTCATAAAGACGAGAGTATCATAGTCGAAACATCGCCGAGTATTAAACTCAGTAATTGTGTATCCATAAAACTGTACCTTGTTGTATTATGTTCAATTACTAAATGTCAATGTTAATCAATGAAGAAGTCTTTGCCACTTTAATCTTTTGTTCGAATTCAGACAAAATTAGCACTCAGTAAGACTTTTCAAATTTTCCGTAAATATTTGTTCCCGATATTAATGGCCTAAATTCAATTTATAAAATCGCATAAAAGGTTGCCTTCGGCAGGTTGTTATTTATAACTTTTCATAAAGCATTACATTCATTGATTAACTTCTTGTTTGACAGTATTAAAATCTAATTCATAACACGCAGTATGGTCAATGGCTTAAAGGGACAATAACACTCTTGCTGGCTTGACAGCTCCAGAAAATAAAAAATAGCCTTATTCTAAGTACTAGATGTGTTAGAGTCCTACCTGTTGTGTAAATTATCCATTAAATCCTATTTTACTTGTCCAGAGGGTTCAAAAATATTTTTAAATCCAAGTCACATTTGAAAAACTTTATGTCAGGCTTTTCAAATCATTAAGTTGAATTTCTCCAATTTTTTTAAATAAGGTGTGTTAGGATGAAATTTGTATCATCAATTAATTGGAATATTGTAAAATAGTACAATTTGTTGACCAGAATAAAGATTGGGACATATTATTCAGTTACAACAAGAGCGGTATTGGGCCTTTAAAGGGGAACGAGACGATATAATTTTGTCAATTTTAACCTCTATCGTTCAAATGGTAACCTGTGCTTACATTAATCTGGATTTTGTCATCTGAAAAAAAATATTTGGAAAACAGGCGATCCATGTAAGTCGAGGATTATCCGCATCTTTGTGGTAAAGCAAAATAATTCTACACGTTTTATTGCACTATAAATCTGGACATTAGGTAATTTCAGTGATCTGGACTATTCGGACTACTATCGGCTTTTCCAGTTCCAAATAGCTGATCGTACCTGGATTACAATGGGTCTTTATCAGGGCCTAGCTAGGTAAATAAAACAGTTTGTACTTCGTGTAATAAAACTGGATTTAAACTTGGTCAGCATTAAAACGAGTGACATTATATACATTTCGAGTGGGTTTTGTAGGCCTAGAATACGAAGGTGTGTAATTATTGTAAGACATACAGAATAAACAACCCGTCTTCAATTGTTAACTAAAGGCACTCTTAACGTTGTAAACAAGTCTTTTTACGTCACGCACCATGGCGGATACGTCTGCCACAACCAGGCCCCCGAGTACGATACCAAGGGCGGCTATTCCAACGTAACCCAAATTAGTCGATGTCTTACGTTGATCCGGAGCACTGATGTATTTTCGCACAGTTGCTGATAAGTTTTTGGTTGACAAAAGTAGCTCGTTTTGTGTTTTCTCGACTTCTAGTAGAACCTCGGCCATTGAAGTTGGTGCGGAGATGTTTGTGCATCGACAATCACACGTTTCATTTAAATAGGCTGAAACTGTAAGATATGATAACATTTAGCTTTATACAAAGAATCACAAGTTCGCTTTTTATTTAAGAATTGGATATGGTAGAGCATATTCAATCCAGTAAGCAATACAGGAAAAGGTCACTATAACGTCCACTCGACACAAACTAGTCATTTCGGGACTAAAATATGGTTCAATTTTATTTCAATAATTCGCTTGCGCGTAGGGGTCTTTAACAGTGGGAAACCGTCGGGCCCAGAGAAACCCATGACCCAACTCCTTGTTACGCACAAGCGGGGAATCGAAACCATGCCACTTGACTCAATAACAGACCAATTAGTAAACAGAAGTAACGTTTATTTCAAATACTTGAAGCTGATATGAAAAGAATAGAAATGAAATGAAATGGGGTTTAACGTCCTACTGTTTTGCTAATGGGCTAATGAAGACGGGCATACGCCATACAGTGTGCTATGAGGGAAAGTTTGCCCGGACAGCGGCACTATGGACTACTCTTATATCGAACTGCCAGGGGATCTTTTACATGCACGCCTATGTATATACGGGACCTCGGTTTGTCGTCCCATCCGAACGACTAGATAGCTATACTTGCCCCCCCCCCCTCCGTCCTGCACCACTTACAAGGGAAAACCACGTCAGAAAATCCCGATGAACTTTCTCGGCCGATGCAGGGATCGAACACGTGACCTCCAGGCTAGCGGCCGATGCAGGGATCGAACACGTGACCTGCTAGACACCTACTAGCGAGCCAGCGTCTTACTCCCTTAGTCGCCGTGGTTCCTTGAAGCTTACAATAAGTGTGGGGAAGAGAAATGAAATGAGGTTTAACGTCCTACTTTTCTGTGCCGACTGGGCTAATGAAAACGGTGTGAAAAGAGAAAAGATACTAACGGTCAAAACAGAAACGACTAAGAATGGTTACAGTGCCTCTAACTGGTTCTGTTTCCACCATTACTGGTTGTCCGTCAAATAGTAGCAGACGACATTCTGTACTTCTGTTTGACGTCCGATACTCGGCCATCCAGCATTCCAAGTTTTGTGAGATAGTAGATATATTTCCTCTATAACCTTCACAGCTCTGTTCGCATGACGTTATATTGACGTCACCTGTTTTGATATAAATCAGCGTTTCGTTGGTAACCAGACTCATCTTTTTAGCTAAATCAGCATCATCACCTGGAAAAAAACCCCAGTGTAGGCCTTTTAATTTTGATCGTGTTTCTTGAATCCTAGAAATTGATATTATTAGACTGAGCGAATCCCGATGCACCTGGATCCGGATATATATTACATTTAGCCAGGTGTGATAGAAATACACAATCAGATTAAAATGGGCTAGATCTATTTGTCAAGGCCAACTCAATTTTTGTCAAGGTCGCTAAGATGTAAATAAGGTTAGGGCACGTGCATTGTTGGTGAGATTGTATGTTAGGGTCAGGGTAAGTATTAGGGCTAGGTCCAAGGTTTGGGTTAAGGTTAGGATTAGCGATAGCCCTCTTTACCTCTCGTGACCTTTGACCAAACTTGAAGTTGGCCTTATCAAATAGATCTAACCATTAAAACGTGGGTTTATCAAACTCGGATCATAATTCAAGTCTAGAAGTAAAATAAATGTAATAAAAAGGGTTAACGTCCTAAATTTATGAAGACGGGCATACACCATCCAGTGTAGCACGAAGACGGGTATACACCATGCAGTGTAGCACGAAGACGGGCATACACCATGTAGTGTAGCACGAAGACGGGTATACACCATGTAGTGTAGCACGAAGACGGGTATACACCATGTAGTGTACCACGAAGACGGGTATACACCATGTAGTGTACCACGAAGACGGGCATACACCATCCAGTGTACCACGAAGACGGGTATACACCATGCAGTATACCACGAAGACGGGCATACACCATGTGGTGTACCACGAAGACGGGTATACACCATGTAGTGTAGCACGAAGACGGGTATACACCATGTAGTGTACCACGAAGACGGGCATACACCATCCAGTGTAGCACGAAGACGGGCATACACCATGTAGTGTAGCACGAAGACGGGCATACACCATGTAGTGTAGCACGAAGACGGGCATACACCATGTAGTGTAGCACGAAGACCGGCATACACCATGTAGTGTAGCACGAAGACGGGCACACACCATGCAGTGTAGCACGAAGACGGGCATACACCATCCAGTGTACCACGAAGACGGGTATACACCATCCAGTGTAGCACGAATACGGGCATACACCATGCAGTGTAGCACGAAGACGGGCACACACCATGCAGTGTACCACGAAGAGGGGCATACACCATGCAGTGTAGCACGAAGACAGGTATACACCATGCAGTGTACCATGAAGACGGGCATACACCATGCAGTGTAGCACGAAGACAGGTATACACCATGCAGTGTACCATGAAGACGGGCATACACCATGCAGTGTAGCACGAAGACGGGTATACACCATCCAGTGTAGCACGAAGACGGGTATACACCATGCAGTGTAGCACGAAGACGGGTATACACCATCCAGTGTAGCACGAAGACGGGTATACACCATCCAGTGTAGCACGAAGACGGGTATACACCATCCAGTGTACCACGAAGACGGGCATACACCATCCAGTGTACCACGAAGACGGGTATACACCATCCAGTATACCACGAAGACGGGCATACATCATGCAGTGTAGCACGAAGACGGGCATACACCATGCAGTGTAGCACGAAGACGGGCATACACCATGCAGTGTAGCACGAAGACGGGCATACACCATCCAGTGTAACATGAAGACGGGCATACACCATCCAGTATACCACGAAAACGGGTATACACCATCCAGTATACCACGAAGACGGGCATACATCATGCAGTGTACCACGAAGACGGGCATACACCATCCAGTTGACCACGAAGACGGGCATACACCATGCAGTGTAGCACGAAGACGGGCATACACCATGCAGTGTAGCACGAAGACGGGCATACACCATGCAGTTTTTAACTATAATAGTGAGAACTGCCAACTCTTTATCTAGACTTAAATAATGCCCCTTTAAGAGAAATACTCACTAGCTATTAATGGAGTCCAACCTGTTTCGTTGATAGCCATGTTGGTTTCTGGTATAAATGAGCATGTTGTTCCTGAATATATAGATATATAGATACATGATAATTTAATGTGATTGAGCTGTCAATAATTAGTCTTCTCTCAAACCGGGCGGGGGTTGGGGGGTAGCGCGTGTGCGTTGTGTCATAAGGTCTGTGATTGAGTCAACTGGCGTGGTTTCGATTTTCCGGTTGTACGCGACAAAGAGTAGTGTCGCCTGTCCAACCTTGTGGATTTTTTCCGGGTCCTCCGGTTTCCCCCAGTGCTAAAGTCCCCTACGCGCAAACCAATTATAGAAATTAAACTGAACCATGTGTTAGTCCCAAAATGACCTAGTTTGTGTCGAGTGGGCGTCAAACCCCATTTCTCTCTCTTTCTCTCTCAAACCAGTGGAATAATTCATATGTAGGTTTTCATAACTGCTGAACACGGTTTTCCCTTAAGACGAGCGCCCCATGTCGGTTACCAGGTTACCAGGGGCCAAGGGGCAACCACGCCAGAACATTCTTGGCTAACACAGGGATCAAACACTTGACCTTCAGGTTATTAAGCCAACCTCCTACTCACTGAGCCAACCCGTTTTGTTGTTTGTAGATCCCTTTTCCATTATTTTAATTGGCTAAATGTTACAAAGGATATATTCTTTCAATAGCAATCTAATTAAAACATAGATCCTATTTCGTTTCGGTTTTTATAGTTCAAAATTTCCTTTTACTTGTCTTTACTACACTGGGATCTAGATAAATTGTTATATAACCCTCGTTCTTGGTGATGTGAGGGATTAGCCAATGAAACGGTCTGTTACGGCGAGTTTTTGGCGTGAGGTGCACGGAACTTTGGGTAAACCACTAGAAACGTCAACGCTGATTGATTAATCAATGTCTGACGCCATAAGTTTAAAAGCCGGTCAAAATTGCCACCATTATAGGTCTGTGCCTTAACCTCTCCCCCAAATTCTTAAACCTAATCTATAATCTCGCCAACAATCACGTGCCCTAATCTTATTTACATCTCAGCGACCTTGACAAAGATTGAGCTGGCCTTCAGAAATGGATTTAGCTCTTCATGTAGTGTAAAAGATACCTTGGCAGTTGGAATTCGATATAAGAGTAGTCCGTAGCGCCGCTGCCCGGGCAAAATTTCCCTCATAGCACACTGTATGGCGTATGCCCGTCTTCATTAGCCCAGTTTAGGAGCAGAACAGTAGGACGTTAAATCCCATTTCATTTCATTTCCTTCGAAAGTATTAAAAAATGAAAAGAAATATAGATGTGTATTTTAATCAGGTTGTTTCAGTGGTGTAATCAGGTTGTTTCAGTGGTGTAACTATGTATATAATAATAATAATAATAAGACAATACACAAACATCGCCTGTTCGACCAGAGATTGTTATTTGAAATGATATCAAGACGTAGATTAATTTCAAACTGACTGTTTTCATATCCTGTCTAAAAAAGCAGGTATTGTTAGAAGCTTCTTTATAAATCTAAACTTTAAAGAAGCATCCAAGGAGCTTATGTTGATATCAGTTGGTTCCAGCATTAACATAACAAGAAATTGCGATGCAAGAGATGGACGGAGAACTGGTCAGATCGAAATGGTTCACCCCATGTTTTCGGCAAAGGGGGGGGGGGCAACTCTGGAAAACAAGACTGCATAACTCTGGAACGAAAGGTCACGGAATGCTGATATCGATAGAGTTAGGCATCTCCCGACCCCAATGCTTCAAATCAAATTGGAAGGTCCGATGCACAGCAAACTCAAACTCGTCAAACTCGGATAACATTGGTTGCTTTTAGGTATACGTCTTACATGCTTTGTCACTATTTGCGTAAATGTGAGGGGCCATTTTAAGGGGAAATTTTGGCCGATTCGAAATCATCCGCGATTATTGTGTAACGAACATATGAACGGTATTTAGTATCGAATAAACATTTAGACCTCTAGAGGTTCCACAAGCTCAAACGCGATTTTTCGTACAATCAGGGGCCATAATCTAAAACATTACAGTCCGATACGTGCCAAAATCGAATCCATTCGAGATGTTTGAGGCATAAATATTTTATTATATGTTAAGTAAGTTTGGTCAAATTGGATTAAAATTGTGACCCCTGGAAGGGGTCCATGGGCTAAGACATTTGTCTGCATTGACTAATGGCACACGCTAATAGATATGGTTATCAAGACACAAATTATTGATAAGTTTAGAAAATTGTCACCAATCACACTTGAATACTGACCGTGCGTATGTTTTGGGGGAAATACTCCACACTGCTTGAACTAGTAGCACGGTTATAGGACAACTACACTACGAATTTTTAAATACCCAGAGCTTATTTAAGGATACACTATGTTAGATTTAGATAAAGAGCTGACCATTCTTGCTATAATAGCTCAAAAATAGATAATGTAAAATGAAAATATTGAAAATTTCATATTTAAATTACTTCACTCTGAGCCAAGTTATCACTGTTTGTAGTTTTGACAAGATGTGTGCATTGTGGTAATCAGGACACTGGTATATTCGAGACTTAGCCTCGCTTTCCCATTTTTAAATTATATTTTTAAATGGCGAACCGTTCTAACCTGGTTAAAATCTTAAGTATCCGATGCCATCGAGAGTTGATAATGGCCTGAATAAGTTAATTAATGTCTAATTAATAATTTAGATAACATTTCAGGCCTAAAGAAAGGCCTGCAATAGTCAGATTTAGCTCTTGCTTAATGTATATTTAAAGTTGTCATTAGATTAAAGGGTATCTTTAATTCTTTAAGCTCAAACCTTTAAACTTAAATAATATCCAGAGATAATTTTCTGATTAAAGATTTGATGATTGATATACGTTCCTTTCATCAAATGTAAATGTCATGTCAATGTTTATTGTGTATACGATATAGAATGAGTTTACACGATACACAATCATCAATCGGATATCACTGTTAGTGTTTTGTATTCCATGCCAATTAAAATTAATCATTTCTTTTCTTTTAATATATATCTTTTTAGTTTATAGTTCTAATAATTTAAGCAATATAAAATGTCGTTCATTAGTCCCAGTGGATTAAAATGTGTTGTACGGGTACGATTTACCTCTCTTTTGTAACATGATAAAAATAATCATTAATTGCCATTTTCATCATTAAAGAGAGAGAGAGAGAGGGTTTAACGTCCACTCGACACATACTAGGTCATTTCGGGACTAACACATCGTTTAATTTTATTTCAATAATTCGCTTGCGCGTAGGGATCTTTAGCAGTGGGAGGAAACCGGAGGACCCGGAGAAAACCTACGAGGTTGGACAGGCGACCTACTCCTTGTTACGTACAGCCGGGGATTCGAAACCACGCCAGTTGACTCAATGACATGCCGTATGATACAGCGCGCGCGTGCTAACCATTCGGCCATCCAACCCCCGGGACCAAAAATACAAAATAAATATACTATCATTAAATGTCATAACAAAAACACTGTTTTATGATGGTATTTGTAAACTAGCTTTCTATCCTTCTTTAAGGCGCAAACATCTTGTTCAAGGAGAATAACTCCCGGGAAACAATATTCCAAAATACACAACTCACCAAATATTCCTACGCCCTCACCCACGAATGAAGAGTGAAATTTATTTTTAGTCTTTCCCTCAATTTTGGATGGCGATTTTTGTTGGTGTAGATCGAAGAAAGGGGCTTGGAAATACATTTTCTGCAAGGTTTTGGTGAATTTTCATGATTTTGAGACGGAAGGATATGAGAGGTTGATGAGGTAGAAAACTAGGGCGGAAAATTGCATGTGTATCTCAAGTTGTCCATGGTGAACCTCATACCTGCTTTTGGGCAAGAGGTTGCCACATGTAGCCCCATCTGTGGTAGAAAGCGTTCTACCCAATGAAGATTTGGGGAAAAGTTAGAGCCGGTCTAAGAGACGAGAATTAACATTAAAGTCAATGGGGAAATCATTAGTGATCTGTGGCCAAAACAAAGCTATCGATAATCATTTTCAAGTTCATCAGTATCAGACTCTTACAGATGAATTCATGGTAATACGTGCAGGGGCTAGTATGGGACAAGTATTGGTTCATACATTCCGTGGGAGCCACGGTGGCTGGGTGGTTAAGACGCTGGCTCGCTAGTCTGGAGGTCGGGTGTTCGATCCCTGCAGTGGCCGAGAAAGTTCATCCAGATTTTCCGGCGTGGTCCCCCCTTTTCAGTGATTCAGGACGGAGGGCCTGACAAGGACAGCTGTCTAGTCGTTCGAATGGGACGAACAACCGAGGTCCCGTGTACACATTGGCGGGCACGTAAAAGATCCCTTGACAGTTGGAATTCGATATAAGAATAGGCCGTAGTGCCGCTGTCTGTGCAAAATTTCCCTCATAGCACACTGTATGGTGTAAGTTCGGAGCAGAACAGTAGGACGTTAAACCCTATTTCATTTCATTTCATTTCACTTACAGATGAATTCATTGTGCAGGGGCTGGTAAGGGACAAGGATTGCTTCCGCATTACTCTCAGAATGGTTCTTATTACATTCCGTTCACTTTCTATTTCTAAATGTTGAAGATATCTCACCTGTTTGTAATTCACAGACATAAGATTTAATATCGTCACATTTACTGGGTATATAGAAAGGTTCAACAGGATTCCATAATATACAATCATAGGTTATATTCGCCTCAAATTCAGGTCGTAGCGGCCAGGCCTGGGTATCGTTTAAATCTAATGGGCTCCCATCATGCCAAACCCATTCACCATTAACAGACGTTAGGCCAATCCAGTACAAGTTCGTCAAAAAAGGACTGAAAAAGAAATTAGTCATGACTTGTTTAGAGAGAGAGAGAGAGAAAGAGAGAGAGGGGAGAGAGAGAGAGAGAAATGGGGTTTAACATCCACTCGACACAAACAAGGTCAGTGGGAGGAAACAGGGGGACTAGAAAAAAAAAACACGAGGTTGGACAGGCGACCCTACTCCTTGTCACGTACAACCTGGGAATCGAAACCACGCCAGTTGCCTCAATGACAGATCTTATGATACTACACACACGCACTAACCATTCGGCCACACAACCCCCGCCTCCCGTCCTGACTTGTTAAAGGAATAATAAAGTTAAAAGTTGATAAAACAAGGACTGATGATAAAGTGAAAAAGGTGAAGATGATCGTTTAAAATGTGGGTTTGTTTTGTGTGGGTATATTCATTATTTACTTCCTGACGTTGACGAAGCATAACGATCTGTCAATGTTTTAAACTTGTGTAGTCTATTCGTCCTGATTATATGAATTATAGTCGTTTCGTGATTATGGCACCAGCCCTCAAACATGGAGATCCCGAGTTCGATCACACGACTGGTCGAGATCGTTCCTAGGAATTTCAGGCCTGCAAGGATAAGGCTTCTAGTACCTTGGAGGGGAGGGGTTGGGGCGAATGGTTAGCGTGCGCGTTGTATCATAAGCTCTGTCATTGAGTCAACTGGTGTGGATTTGATTCCCCGGTTGTACGTGACAAGGAGTAGGGTTGCCTGTTCAACCCCGTGTGTTTTCTCCGGATCCCCAGGTTTTCTCCCACTGCGAGACTCTGTCTAGTAGTTGGGATGTCTAGTCGTGTACAAGTTGACATACACGTAAATGAACCTATGGGGGTTATAATTGTACTAATAGTGGACATTCGCCGAGAAAGTTCATCCGGATTTTCTGACGTGGTTTCCCCTTGTCAGTAGTACAGGACGTAGGGTCTGACAAGGACAGCTGTCAAGTCGTTCGGATGGGACGAAAAACTGAGGCCCCGTGTATACATTGGCGTACACGTAATAAAAGATCCATTGACAGCTGGAAATCGATATAAGAGTAGGCCGTAGTTCCGCTGCCCGGGCAAAATTTCCCTCATAGCACACTGTATGGCGGATGCCAGTCTTCATTGGCCCAGTATAGGAGCAGAACAGTAGGACGTTAAACCCCATCTTATTTCTAAGAGAAGGCAAAACTTGCCTCATCCCTCATTTCTAAAATTATACTGTACTTTTTTATATTTATAAGTAACTTATAGTTCCCAGGTAGTATACAGCCATATCTATATACTTACTTTACACCATCTGATCTGAGTTCCCAGTCACTAACACCTATATCTTTAGCTAGTTTACCATTTATTTTAGCACAGTTATCACTAGCATCCTTCCAATAGGTGTCATCTACACCACTAAAATAGATGTACTTCAGATCTGTAATAAAAATAAAATAAAACATCATCTCATCCTTCCAATAGGTGTCATCCCCACCAGTAAAATATATATACTTCAGATCTGTAATAAAAATAAAATAAATCATCAACTCAATGTTTTGTATCGTTTGAAATCAAACCTTTTTCTTAGAAGTCTGTCCAGCGGTCCCAGATTTTGGAATACAATAACTATGAACTAAATGACATGTTTAGCAGGTAAAAATCTTGACTGAGTTCCATAATTTACTGATAAGCAATGTAAATGGTCATGGAACACAATAACTTCGTTTTAGAATGCAGAAACTTGGTGCATCTTTCATATCTTGACTAAGATCAAAGGTGACCATTTTCTGTTCAGGTTAAGCAGATATAAGCAATTTGATTTACCTATGCATTGAAACATGATAACTCTGTTATGGGGTGGAGGTTGGAGGGTCGGAATAACCAGATATTTTCTCCAAAGAATGTGTCAATTCTTAACATTATCATTAGCATCATTTGTTTTAATGCATAAAACAATTAAACCACATTTATTGTGTCTTAAGGTAGAATGTTCAAAATTGGTGTCTATGTTCATTGGGGTGAATGTCTTGATTGAGTTATATGATGAGCGTTTCTGCAAGGGCTAAGCAGAAATAAACAATTGTTTTATTTCCGATGCTTTAGAAAATAGTAATCCAGGGCCCTGTTTCTCGAAATCTTAACTAAAGATAAAATCCAAATTTTAGTAGATACTTCAATTTTGATTGGCTAAGCACTAAAATCAATCCTAATATTATCCAATCAAATTACTAAAACTTGGATTTTATCTTAGTTAAAATTTCGTGAAACAGGCGCCTTATTCTAATTGAGGAAGTGTGACGGTGGCTAAGTTCGATAATGAGTATTTTTGCTCAACTTATGCAGAATAATTAAAAAGTGTCATCTATTTATTTTGGACTTGAAGAGGGTGACTTTAGTTGCACTGTTGTTTTTCTACTAAAATCTGCTCACCCACTAGTCTCGAAATGAATATATTGAAAATTTTATTCATATTACTTTATTCTGGGCAAAGTGGTCATTAAACCTCTCTCTCTCTCTCTCATTTCATTCTAGAAATTGCATCTATAATGTCAGTGATACTGATAGGATATAATTGGGACAGAATTGAACCATATGTTATAGTCCCGAAATGACCCCCCCCCCCCTCTCTCTCTCTTCTCTCTCTCATAAGTTATTATTGTCCTACTGACCGTACATACATAAAGTGTCAGTCCCCAGGGATCGTTTATTTATCCTGCCCCTCATGAGTCGACTATATTTATTAATATTGGACCTGGAAATATCACTGTATGGCAGGTACTTTATTAAAGGTCATTAATTATAGTTCAATCATTATTTATTGTCCACATTCGTGCAGTACACCACTATTTGGTCTTAATGCTACAAATTGAATAGACGACATTAGGCAGTAAATAAATAATTGTATTAAAGGGTATTTTATAATTATCACTAATCCATGCGATCATGCGTTTCTACATAGCTAACATAAAAACATGGTCTGCTTTTTTCACTGTTGGCATTTAATAATACACATGGGTCTTTGGGGAAATGATCAAATGAATAGTTACCAGTTCGAGAATGACGCTTTAGATACTATGTATAGTTCACATAGTGCGGAGTTAAAATTAGAATCGTCAGTCACCGACAAGGGCGGGCTTTTCTATATACCGGAAAACACCGGAAAACTGAATACCGGAAAACACCGGAAAAACACTACCGTCATGGCAAAGACCCTGGTTATTGGATCCTCTAACCTGGCTAGGATTGCATCCTTCGTCGGGGACTGGGAGATCCATAGCTACTCTGGAGCCAAGATCAGCCACATCAGACAGATACTCCAGAACTACATGGGTCCTGCACCAGAGGAATTAGTGATACACGTCGGGCTCAACAACAGGGAGGAAAGTGGACCAAGGATACACGAGCAGATGCTAGATCTACTCAAGGTGACCAGAGCAGCTTTCCCAACAACCAAGCTCTTCGCCACACAGATCCCCACTTCTTCCCGACTCCGACAAGAAAATCCGATCGCCTACCAAAACATCACCAGCTAAAACCAACTGATCTCCACTGCACCTTCACCAAACGCCACCACATTACCAACCTTCAATGGCAAAATAGAACTGAAAGGTAACGACGCAATCCACTGGAGCCGAGACACGGCCAGAGAGATCATCAACTGCTGGATGAGGAATTTAAACTAGGATTAGGGAAAAGGAATGAGAAGCCGTCTTTAGGACAGACAGTTGTCAATTTGAGCGACAGACTTCTCAACCCCCTAGAAATGAACATTCTTGATAAAGGCCTTAAATTCATCCCAACCCCCACAATAACATCCATAGACCCCATCACCCAGGCAACCGATCGCTTCCAAAGAACACTTTCGTTGACTTATTTTTTTAGGAACAAACCCGGCAGAGGTAAAAAATTATTCACAGTAAAATCCACATGGAAACCACCTAAAAAGTCATTATCACCAGCCATCCTAAAAACTTTCGACGAAATGAATATAGAAATATCATCCATTCAACCACAGTCACAAAAACCAAATCTCAACCGAGCAACTAAAACGGCATTAAACACCCTTAAAAAGGACAAAAACATAATAATTAAGAAAAGCGACAAAGGCTCGTGTTGTGTCATAATGAATCGTGCAGACTATATCTCAGAGGCAGAAAAACAATTAAGTAATCCTATACATTACACTAAATTAGACCAACCCATCTTTAAGGACACCGCAAATTTAATAAACAACATCTTATATGAATTGCAGGATAAGGAATACATAACAGCAAAACAATATGATTATCTATCTGCTAAATCTGACTGCCGACAAAGACATCTCTATACACTACCAAAAATACATAAAAATCCAGAAACACAATGGTTTATACCTAATAAAATACCCAAGGGACGCCCAATAATATCAGACTGTGGCAGCGAATCATACAACGTATCACAATATATAGACCATTTCTTATTACCCCTAGCATGCCAACACCCATCCTACCTTAAAGACACTAACGATTTCATTCAGAAAATCAAACAGTTAAGAGTCCCCGAACACACCGTTTTAATATCCATCGACGTACAAAGCATGTACACGAACATTGATAATAACACAGGTATTGAAGCAGTTAGGAAAGCATTTCTTAGGAACCCGCAAGCATCCAGACCGGACGAAGAAATCCTCAAACTACTCAACATTTGTCTGAGGAGGAATGACTTCGCTTTTAACGACCAAGTATACCTTCAGTCTTCCGGAACTGCGATGGGAAAACGATTTGCCCCGAGTTATGCAAATCTTTTCATGGCGGAGTGGGAAAGGGAAGTTCTGCCACTCTGTCCATTAAAACCAGATTTCTATGGGCGGTTTTTAGATGACGTTTTCATAGTCTGGACCTACACACTAGACGAATTTTGGACGTTTTTCAACATTCTGAACAATCATCATCCATCTGTCAAATTAACCGCAAATGTAAGCCATAACAGCATAGATTTCCTTGATACTACCGTTTTTAAAAGTAACAACACCAAAATCACAGGCCAATTGGAAACTAAAGTATTTTTTAAAGAAACCGACACACATCAATTATTGTTCAAAAGCTCCTTTCACCCAAAACATACATTTTCTGGCATCATAAAATCTCAGATTCTCCGTTTTCATAGGATATGTACTCAGAAGACCGGCTTTGAGTCAGCATGTACATTGGTATTTAGCAAACTACGGGAAAGGGGATACTCTAAACGCTAGCTACGACGTATAAAAAACAACACTCTAGCTGAGCTTGCCGCCAAAGAAACAAATAATATACAATCAGCACATAAAACCAAAATTTGTGGCCATCCAAGATGTCAAACATGCAAAATCTTAAACATATCCGACCATTTCCATAACAAAACATCTGGCACAAAATTCCCAATATTAGACCAACTTTCATGCAGTAGTTCAAACATAATTTATCTAATCTCATGCAGAAAATGTGACAAGCAATACGTAGGGGAGACTCAAAATGCACTTAGGGAAAGAATTAACGGTCACCGGTCTGACATAGTCACCAAAAAAGACAAACCTGTCTCAATTCATTTCAACCAACCAAATCATGACATTTCAGATCTCATTGTCGCGCCAATAGAAAGACCAAGAGCGACTTTGAAACTTCAGAAGAAATTAAAACGTTTAGGCTAACAAGAGAAAAATTCTGGATTGACAAATTGAAAACAACAGCCCCCTAGGTTTGAATATTCATACGGCTAGCGCAATAGCTCCTTTTGTAGTTCCATTTAGCGCAACAGCAGCAAGTGCGTCCAAAATCATCAGAAAACACTATACTGATCTCCAAGAAAATCACCCGAAAATATTCACACAGAAACTTATAATTGCATATTCTAAAAATAAAAATCTGAACGACATCCTAGTGCACAGTAAATTAGATTAAATAAGACCAGTCTCCACCCTGACCCAAAACAAACCATATATCAAATCCTATCCCTAACCATTAGTAAAAAAAATCAACTAGATATAAGAATCCCTAGCCGTAACCCGGTGATGTGGAACAAACACGATTTTTTAGAAAATCCAATCCGTAGTAGGAAACACACTAATGTGGCTCTCTCCCGAGAGCCTCAAATTTATTTTCTTTTTTCTTCAGAAACAATAATACCAGAATACCAGAAACACCATCCAAGGAAGACCATCAGCGCCACCAACACCAGAAAACAGTGAAATCACACAGAAACTTATAATTGCATATTCTAAAAATAAAAATCTGAACGACATCCTAGTGCACAGTAAATTAGATTAAATAAGACCAGTCTCCACCCTGACCCAAAACAAACCATATATCAAATCCTATGCCTAACCGTTAGTAATTAAAATCAATTAGATATAAGAATCCCTAGCCGTAACCCGGTGATGTGGAACAAACACAATTTTT